CCGTAAGTCTTGGATTTGCTTTCCAGGAAGCCAAGGAAAATAGAAGCATATTCCCCACGCAAGGGGATTGCAATCTTTTTTCACTGCTTCACCTTATTGTCAAGGGTTGGCGGCACCTGGGCGTTAGTCCATTCTGAGGCCCATTTTATATAGATGGCGTTGAAACAAAACGCGCGCCGCTTTACTGACGTGCGGCAAACAAAGCCCAAGCCTTCCGGATCTTCTCGATTGCTTGGCCAGTGATGCTTGAAAGCTCTTCTTCTACCCCTTGTCAAACATGCAGTGTCTTGCTGATGAAAATTGGCAAACAAAAATCGACAAATCAGAGCCAAACTGTTGCTCTCTCGAAGCATCTGTCGAGCCTGTCATAAGGATTCATCTTTCAATTTTGAAAGGATGCTCATGGATGCTTGAAGGCCTCCAACTCTATCTCTGTGGCTTGCCCTTGCACTGGGCTTTCGAGTCCTGCACAGTGTGCAACACACCTTGGAAGAGTTGCAACTCAAATCTTGCTCTAAGGTTTCTTTCATTTTCTTTCAATCGGCAGTTCTACACATGATGTCATGCGCGCACATACACACAAAAACAAAACGAACCATACTTGCCATGATATAAAAGCACGGCAAACTGGCATCCTCCGGCGCACAACGCCAATCCTGTCTTAGAAAGGAGGAACAATGAGTTGGGCGTTGCAAAGCGCCGGCCCGGCCTAGGACAAATATGAACCAATCATGCAAAATGCGCTGGTATCATGGAATTGCAAAGCCGATGCAAAAACAGAAGAAACAAATTGAATGATGTGCTGTCTGTCTTCTCCACATCCTTATACAACCACATTAATTACAGTACTGGTTTTTGCACCACACTGTCCCTCCCTCCGCAAACTCGACCAAGCACGAAGTTTTCAATAGTCTGTATGGCTGTATGCGGCTATATGATCTATATGTAGATGTAGTGGTGTTCACCGTCATGAAGGCATCCACCGATCCACTCAGTGGGAAGATGGACGCACCAGCGCCTGCGCACTTTTCCTTGATGGCGGCGGCCAGGCCCGAAATGCCAGATAAAACTCAGGAGGCTTCGATGGTCCCGTTGCTCGCTCCCTCCCCTCCCTCCCCCTCCCTCCCTCTCTCCCTCTGTCCTTCCCCCTCGCTTCCTCCCTACCGCTACGCAAAGCAGCTCACAAAGCTTGCTTGTGAAATGGACACCAATTGCGCTTTGTAATAAATAGGTGACGTATCAACAGGTTCCTAATGACCGTCACAAGTATTCGGCCATCACACTGATCGTCCATTCCTAAGGCCCAAGCGATCCAGCAGCAACTAAAAAAGCACCCATGCCGGCGCACAGGGAATAGCTCACAGTAGTCACCTTGAAGCCAACCCTCAAGATGAGCAAGTCTACACAATAGTTTGCATGGACACTTTCTGCCCGCGCAGCTCGGAACCATTCCATGTTATTAGCCCTCAAAAAACAACATATAATCGATACTAAATCGATCTAAATCGTGCCAGTGTCTCCACCGTGCCGTCATGCCTGCGGTCTCCTCACTGTTTATCGTTACACTCTTGTGCCTGCGCGTGATCAAGCGGGTCATGCTATGAATGTCTCACGAGCGGGTCATGCTGACTATCTGCTGGCAGTAGTGTCTGCGCGGCGTCCTGCTTGTGAGCCGATCAATATCAAGTGCAAACGTTGCTAGGCAAAGCAGGCGCTGGGGAAAGATGCGTGGCAGGAGAGAATGGAAGCTCTTTCCATTGTTTTGGTGTGGAAGCCATTGGGAAATCTTGCGCGGTTCCAAGTCCCTGTGGTCTTCAACTCAAAGGGCTGCAGTTCGTGTCCTCCCGCTCCCTTACTGCATTCTTGGTGCCATGTGCAATATGGTGGAACACAGCGGTTTTCCGGCCCAAGGCAACTCCCTCATGAGCTGGCAGGGGGAGTGCCGACGTGTCATTCCTTTCATTTTCATTTGAGGCCTTCAGCATCCTTGAACATAAAGGCATGATCGAACGCTTGGCTCAAGAACACAAAAGACCGAAGCGATTTGGTCACATAGTTTCAATGAGTGTTGTTCAGCTGTTTGGCGGAGCATACCACTATCCACACGCTTTGGTCTTCCCCAACGCTGGATGGGCTATTAGAACTCATCGCCTGGACATGTCAATTGTCCCCAATCTTTGCTTTGCCCATCGATGAATCTATTAACTAGGAAAAGAGCAGCTACTTGTAGCACCGCAATCGCCCAAACTTCATGGCAAATCCGACAGCCTTGCAACCCTTGGCTTTCAGCTGACAAATTGTATCATAAAGAGCCAATGCCTCAGTGCATCAGTGTTTTCATACCCGCACTCAGTGTGTTTTAAGTCAAGGCTTGAGCAGGTTTCAGGGCAGCTCCAGGGCTGGAGAAGTAAATTTGAACCTGAGCCACAGAATTCACTGATACTTTGAAGCAACAATGGTCTTGTAAGTCATAGGCTGGCTTTTTTGCATCTTCTGACTGCAAATATAAAAGCATCGCCAAATAAGCATTCGCCATGTTGTCATCAATATACCTGGTACATGTCAGACGGGACGCATTCTGATCCAGAAAGAAAAACACCTGTCTTTACAGTGTATACCGTATACCGAAACAAAGAAGAACTATAGTGACTAGATCTGAACATGTTCTAAGAATCTCGAAAACGTGGGCACTCCGATATCATGAGGATGCGCTCACGCAGCAGTAATTCTCGAACCGACAGCCACTGGAAGCGCTGTGTATTTGGAATCCTGGCAAGAAGCGCGTAAGATCCAGCTACAGTTTCCCGGTATACCCCACTCCAAAGTGCTGCAACTGAAGAACTCTGAGTCATCAGTGTACTGTACTGTTCGTGGGCACCCCTCGAGTCTGGAATGTGTGGATACAGTCACGTGTTTGGAGCAGGCGCGTGGGTGATTGTAGCTGCGGTAGTTGGCCCACGGCTGATAGACGGCCGTGGTGTTTTCATGCATTTTTATTGACTTTTCGTTTTCTACGCTGTCGTTTTTGCATGTTTGCTTGAGGGGGATGTGGATGCTACGTGTGGGAATGGGTGAGGTGGGGTGGGGTGGGGCATGTTAACGTTCGGTTGCACTTGCTGCATGAAGTTGATGCTGCGTTCAGTTGCTGCGCCAAAGCTTGACCTATGCCACACCGGCTCAGTTCTTGCGCCGCTTGGAGGAGCTCTTGTGAAGACTGAAAAAGTCGCAACTTTTTCCGGCGGCCCAATTAGTTACGTAGTTTCGAACATGCTTCGAAATCAGCATTTCGCCTCAGCGAAACTCTCATTTCAGGCAAATCTGCTTGGAATTGACCGTGATTCCACTGATGAAACGTTGGGCACATCATTCCCAATGATCCTAATGGAATTACGCACATTTCGACATGATTAACCCACGACCATAATCGATTTACACCACGGCCGTCTATCAGCCGTGTACCTAGTTATTGGAGTTGACCTTGCCTTCGCTATGTTATTCTTTCCAAAAAAGGGGGGACCCGTTTGAGACCAATCTATTGCAGAAGGTTTGACCTCATCCAAAGTCATACTATACCGCTTAGGCTATTTATAGTTGAAAGAAGGGAAGTTCAGAAGGTCCAATGGACAACAGGCATAGACAACAAGTAAGAAAATAACAAACAGAAAAGCAACTCAACTTCGTCTGTTCGTCTCTTGTGACTTACTCCCCACACTTGCCTCCAAGGCATGAGAGCTTCAGCTTGACGAGCACACGAAGTTCTCTGCCTGGCGACCAGCACACAGAATACGCCGCCGGGACCATCTCATGCGACAAACAATGTTTTGGAAGACACGTAGTGTGATGGGCCTGCAGGCTACTGCGGCCACTGACAACAGCGCCACCTTGATCAGAACAGTGCTGTCACAACAGCTTAGACATGTTTCGAAGCTCCCAAAATTGCAAGTCGCTTGTGACTTAGTATTCTGCAGAAGCAGCTCCAGCAAAGGTGCTCTGTAGGCGGTGCTCCTTAGAAAGACACCAGGGCAAGCAGCATGGCTTCTGTTTTCTCCTGAGTTTTTGCATGTATCGCTTACCTTCAGCGGAGAGATCGTGGGTTTTTTGCCCTTCCACCTGAGCCTCAGCTCTTAAAAGCGGTGAGCAGGCAAAGCACTGGCTCTGTGGGTTTTCACTCAAGAAAATGGACACTCCAAGAAACAAGTGATTTACAGTAATCTTCTGTTTGAATTGCGGCCCACAGAAGGCAGAAAAAGCTTGGCTGGCCGCGAACGTGGCTCACTCGGACCGACCTGATGTTGAGACATGTTGAGACAATTTCTCAATGAGATCGAGCTTCCGACTGCAACCACAAAGTCGTGTGGTGTGTGCATCAAGACTATGCCTAAGCGAAGCGAGTGATTCTGGTCAAACATTTCAAACAAATGCAATTCCATGCTTTGAGTCAAAGACCACACAGGAGAACCAACAGGCGCAGTTCCCGCATGCATATGCCCAACGCCTGATGTATTGAAGGGAGCCAGAAAGCACCGATTGTCATCAGACCAAGTAAACCCATGCTCCAAATCATGAAGCAAGGGCAAATGCAGGAAACAAGACTTGAAAGTCAATGCGTGTTGCCGATTGCAATGGACATTTGTCATTGCTTGCCTGCATCGCATGTCCTCAGGTCAGATCCTCGTCTAGAAGGGTGTTTTGTCCAGCTGATACAGCTGCAGGCACAAATACACAAGTGAAGTCACAACCAAGTCTCAACATGTCTCAAACATTTACATCGTCACTCATTGTATGTTTGAACGTGCTTCAGACGCTGTTGCAACTTGTTTGCCTGCGAGGATTCCTTGCAAACTGCAGGGTTGTGCCCCTCGAGCAGCAAAGGGTTTCTCTGCTACTGCCAAGTCGTGACTTGCAAACATCCTGTGAGTGGAACTTAATTCGGTTTGTGACACTGTGAAACAACATGCTGTATTCAATCAAGTGCGGACATCCATTCACAGCATCAATGATCATGGACCCTGCAGGGGCACCAAGCAAAGAAGAGAGAGAAGAAGAAGAAGAAGAAGAAGAAGAAGAAGAAGAAGAAGAAGAAGAAGAAGAAGAAGAAGAAGAAGAAAAAGGCAACATTGTGCTTCTGAGCCGGCGCCGTCTGTCAAATATATTCAAGCAGTTGCTCGACAAGTAAGGGCTGACCGCTGAAATGCATACATATACATATATAGTTATTTTCAGGTAGTCTTCTGTAGTCACCGCAGTTTTGGGATGTGAAATGGTCAAGTGGGACTTGGGTCTTTTGAGTTCGATTCGGTATCAATCCGATTTTGTCAAAATTTGGATGCTCCAACAACGGAACTTAACTATGCGACTATTTTAGACAAAGAATCTGGAATAATGCCAAAACATGATAAACATATATGTCGAATAGGTAGCACATCTGGCTTCACGGACTCCACCAGCACTAGAAACAGTGCCCTGACCCGGTTACAGCCAACCGGCAAGATAAACTCATAGTCATAGAATCCAGTCGAACGCAACTTTCCGAACCCCGATCATGTGGCCAGAAAGACTCCACAGCACTCACAGGTTGCTGAGGTTCGGTGTTGTAGCTCTGGGTGAGGCTTCCAACACAACATTGCTGCAAACAAGATTCTTGATACTCGGCTTCACAACAGGCGCGAGTTACGCTTTCTCCTTACTGGTCTCATCTCATCAAAATGAGCGCGCATGCAAACCTACAAGCAGAACCCCGAAAAGGAAGCATGCACTGACAAACACTTTGTTTTGGAGCTCTCCATCTGCAGGCTGCATCCACCAGCAAGGGGCACAACCCCGATTTGGAATTTGGAAGCAACCAATCCAAACCACTGAGTTGGGGGATCTGGATTTGCAGTGCGTTTGGATCTGCACTTGGCCAGAATCACAAGCTAGAGTCCATCAATGAACAAGTGTCTGCTCAAAGTTCTAATCCAGCATGTGAAAATCACAAAATGGGGTTTGAGTTCCAATCCGTACTCCCAATGATAGGATTAAGGATTACGCTTGACGAGACGTTCTATTCTATATACAGTAATTCAAAGGACGTTATGTTTCCACAGCTTACAAGTCACCCAACAGGCAAACAACAAATTCGGTGAGATTGATCATCGATCCATGGGTCGCTGCAACCTAAGAAAAAAACGGAAATAACTCTCGGGTCTTTTGTACGGATGTCTTGGGGAATTGCAAAAAAGTAACACTTGACATGCAGCACAATGAAGTGATTCGATGATGCTGGGACAATACTTGTAACTTGTGCAAACTTAGTGCAGTTTAAACAGTTTAAAGGATGGTTGTTGCCCTGCCCTGCCTCTTTTCCTTGGGCAACTCGCAGCATGCCTTCCAGCCGTTGCCTTGGAGTGCATGAATGCAAGACTGATACACTACTCCTTTTCAACCTCGCTGCCAAACACTCATAAAGTGTACTCTACAAGCGGGTGCCTTGCAGTCTGCTCTGTCTGGAGTTTTTCCTTCAGCGGCTCCACGATCCTGGCCACCTGAACATGTTTGGAAAATAGAAAGGCTTAAGGTTCCGGTGGGCCTGGAGCCTCAGCAGCGACTGCCTGGTGCACCTGGCATAAGACCAAGCAAAACGATGCAGGCAGAATGGAGCGGAAACTGTAGCACAATTGAAACATACTGGGAGTCTTGGCAACCTTCCCCGCTGGCCTCCCGACGGAGCGAGGCAGTTGTAAGGCCTGTAAGTGAGCTCCTCCAGAAGACTGTCGCGGCGCGGTAGCGCATGATACACCATGGAACAAATTCAGCGACAAAAACGAAGTACTTCTCATTAAATCCTGGATGATGCGCACTTCTCATTCAATCCTTCAGCCTTGCTGAGGAATGATGCTCCCTTTCAGAATGCTGATAAAACTTTCGGTTGAATTGCTGCTACGTAGAAACACAGGCCAGAACACTTCGAAGCGATGGTGCCCTCTCGTCGAGGTCTACTTGTCCCTGCAAACAAAGAACAGAACTTCCACTGTTTGGTCCATACACGAAACACTGCCCGCATAATGTACAGCATTTTCCGACTCTCTGCCACTAGGATTTAGACAGTCTTGGGTCTACCTTTGGACCTGAGATGAGCTTGGGCTACTTGACAATGCATACAATGTTAGTACAACTTGACTTCAACCAATTGCGGTAATATGTTCTTCAAGTATAAATGTATATATATATAATATACACTGTACCTACTTTTTCAGTTGCTCTCTGTGACTGCTGCCCAGGTGAAGCAATGATCTGACACACCAGGCAGCGACAAGATTAAGCAAAGCCGACAAGTCCTATCATTGACTGACAAGTTCTGTCTCCAACTGAGCCAATTTGAGTCCAGGTGTGATCGGCCTGCGGAGTCCGCATCACTCCTCCACGGCAACTGCAACCAATCTGTGTGAGGACTTGATCGAGAACAATGTTTCGTTCTTTTTGAACGATCTTGCAGGGGAACCATCCAATGTGATCCCATTACAGTCAAAGACCTCGGAGTGTGCACCCTACACCCTATACCCTACTCTTTGAGCTTGGAGTGATGCTAATCTAATCTACCATTGTTCTATCCTCTTGCTTTCTTTCTGTCCAGTATTTTTTGGCTTTAGACCTTTTCCACAACTCGTTGTTTCTTTTTAATCCTTTCCTTTTTACAAAACACCCACCACAAAGCCTCCTTTTGGCATGGACCTTGCAAAGCGCACCATCAAGCAAACTGAAGTTGGAGGTTGTTGCCAAGTTGAAGGTTGGATTGAGTGCTGGGCATGCACTTGTGCAGGTCATGCAATGGCCTGGCCAAAGCCAACACCATGTTGCACATTCACACATTGAGGCTTTGCTTTGAAGCGTAGACAAACTATGACGACAGCATAGACAAGCTACTAGACAATCTATGACAACATTCAGGTCACTGAAATCACAAGACTCACACGGTGTCTCTTGGCAGCGAATGCCTGAAAAGTGCTCCATCCCAAGGCGAAACAAGCAGCAAAGGTACTCACTACCAATCATTAGCATTTATCTGTGCTTGAGAGTAGCTAGTTGGTGGCACGACCAACCGTTCCTGACGAAATGCAAAGATGAAAACAAACAAGTCTACACGCATGGAAGCATACGGGAACCGTGCCTGCGGGTCGTTCTATGCTAATGCGCTGGTATTGTGCGTCGGCGCGAATTAAGTGTTGTCCCTCATTTTCCTCATACATCTTCTCCAATCGGCCAGATTTGAGTGCATGGGTGTTTTGGTGTATGTTCAAACTAGTATATGAACTGATGGATGGACGTTGGGTCTGTCTTATTACCTGTAACAGTGGATGATTTGGGTTAGTAAAGGCTTTGTGCAAAAATAGTGATAATTGTCTACTGACTGTTACAGGTAATAGGACAGACCCAAGATGGACGCATCGTGCTGTATCAAAGTATCGGAGCAAGTCTTAGTTCAAACGCTGGTTGCGGTCACATTGCAATTCTGAGTTAGACATTGTTTTGCCTGCACAACCTGAGCAAGCTACTCAGGCCCAAATGCTTGATGATTTGCCTGGCGCAATAAAACATCGGCCAAACCCTCCCATCACATGTGCTCAGCTCTGATATTCAAATCTTGTACCGCTTTGTTGCCGGCCTCTTCGCTAACTGCCTTTCTTTGTCGACCCTTTCTTGCCTGCTAGTGTTTGAACAAAGGATACCAATGTGCAACAAAGACAGCGGCCAATTGTATGAGCTTCACACCATAAAATGTGAGCTGGATTTGCAAAAGTGGACCTTCATCAGCCAGTGAAAATTAAAGGGAACGTGTGAAAAGTCTGGGTCATTGCCTGAGGTCCCAGCATTTGAAATGGCCCAGTTGCAAAATCACGAGAATATTCACAGACTTCGAAGCAGTTTGTCAGTTGGTGCCAACATGCATTTTTTTGCATATGCCATCATATGCCTACACTACATGTCGCTGCACTGCTAATGTCCGCCCTTGCAATAATTTACAATACAGACCTGTTGCGCAGTCCACAAGAAGATGTTGTCAATGCGCATTTTTGATCTGTTGTAACTGAGTCATAGAAACAAACTTCCAAAAACGAGCAGCTGCCAGGCGCTCCGAACTGGACCCAAAAACTCAGGGCAACAACATTTTAATGAACATGATGATCCCACTTAGTAAAGCCAAAACCCATATTTCCTGTATGTGAGATTCAGAATTATGTAGGAAACAATCTTCCTGAGATGTGGACCAATGAGGTAGCCAAACAAGCAGGTGCACTGGCTTGGGTTCAAGTATACTATGCATTTTTCAGAAACCGTTTCGTAAACACCACAACGGCACGACGGCGTTTAAAACTATAACTGTTGCAGTTGCATTGGACAACATGGTTCGAAAACACTTGCGCAAAACTGACTGTTCACTAGAGACCAACTGACAAAGGAGATGGTGCGCGAAATCTTCACGCAACACGCGCCAATTTCCGCGGCACTGCACTTCCGATTTGCAACGCCAAGAAAATGAAGGAACGCCAATGGCCATCGAAAGCAGGCTTGCACGGGCATCCAGCATGCAAACAAATACGCATTGGTACATTGATGATACTCAAAAATATGTATATATTATAGAAAAACACTTACAATTGTGTATATATATATATACCGCCGGACTGGAAGTTAGAATGGGTTCATAGGGGTCTGATTTTTAACCCCCATTGAGAATGGGGGCGTAAAAAAGGAGAAAAAAAAATACAGTTGGAATGGCCACCTCTAACTTCCAGTCTGGCATCTAGGAAAAACAAGTTTTAATATTATGGACCCTCTAATTTCCAGTCCGGAATTCTAACTGTGCCGCGGAGAGTAACACAGTTTCTTTTCCGTCCTTTCCTCACACATGTGAAATTGGGACATCTGACAAGACTTCTCACTTTTACTTTTTGCTTGAAGTTTCATTGCACAAGAGTTCCTTTTTCCCTTCAAGACCCCTTGTGCTTTACGAGCCATCCCGACTATACCTACAGTACGGACTGCAAGATAGAATGACTATTTTTCAAGATTGTTCCGTAGCAAGTTAGAATGCTTATGTCCCAGGTTTGTTTTAGTCAAGAGCTATTAACCGAAGGAATGCCATGTCCAGAGTGTGATTTTTGACGAATTTTGAAACTGCGGGTAAATCCGCCGACCCCACTCGTGGGGTGAGGCGTGACTGTTGATGTTAGCCTTAGCCTTAAGCCTTAGCCTTAGCCTTAGACTTAGCTTTAGACCTTAGCCTTTAGCCTTACCTCCCCTACCCCTCCGGACCCTTGTTGCAAAATGGTGACGTGGATTGGCCAAAATTCTGCTTGTTTACTTCATCCCTTGCCACATTGTCGGAGTCCTGCGCCTTGC